AAGTGTGCTATTTATAGGTGTTTTTCAACACCTTTGGCCGAGTACTCGACCGGGTCAAGTACTACCCGACCGGGTCCGGTCAAAATCAGATAATTCGCCACGTTCTGGTGATCTTCGCACGTCATTTTGTCCCGGGTCACATCTGACCCGACCGGGTCAAGTAGGTGACCCGACCGGGTCCAGTGACTTTCTTGGCAATTTCGTCAGTTAAATCATACCCGACCGGGTGGGGGTTTCTACCCGGTCGGGTTTCACTCCTGGGCAGTCAAATTTCTTGTTTTCTTCTCTTCAAAGTCTTCCTTTCCAACACCACTAATCCTAACTATACTTTACAACTTATAAATAAAGAATAAAATACAATTACAACTGAAATTACATAAATGTTTACAAACTAAATAAAATGTCAAACAATCAACATAAATCAAACATAAAAACATGCAATTATGCACTACTAATTAGTGTGCATCATGCTGCGCGAGGCCGATGATCAAAGATGAAGAACAGAACATCATCTTGGATACGTATGGCTCCCCGTTGCTTTCGTTCAACCATCTTCTCATCAATCCTCTGTGCCACCCTTTGGCCTTACGCTGCGCAAGGCCGATGATCAAGATGAAGAATAGAACATCATCTTGGAGACGTATGGCTTCCCATGGATTTCCTTCAACCATCTTCTCACCGTCCTCCGTGCAGCCCTTTGGCCTTACGTTACGCGAGGCCAATGATCACGATGAAGAAAAGGACATCATCTTGGAGACGTATGGCTTCCCATGGCTTTCATTCAACCATCTTCTCATCGGTCCTCGGTGCCAGCAGAATACCCCGGCTCCGCCTCCTGCCCGTTCGCCAAGCGGTGGATGGTATCCGCCATATCCCTTAGGGTATTAGGGTCCCCCCTGAGTTCATGGGGAATCATGTCAGTAAGCACCCCAAGGTCTCTGTGGCTTCACAAGCAGTTGGACTGGGCGTCTGGCGCCTGCTGGCGTGCTCTTCGGTTGTGTGACAACCTTTTGGAGAGATCATAGGAGCTTCCTTCATTGTTCCTTTCCATCTTACTTGTTTTGAGATTTTAAAAGTGATTTTCAGCTGAGAGCTTGATTTTTTGGGAGACTTCTTGATAAGTTTCCCACAGACGGCGCCAATGTTGAGGTGTATTCTGTCAACCCGTAGGCCCAACACGCAACCTAAGGGTTTCGAATGGAAGAGGTAAAACAAGTAGATGTAGGAACAAACAAGAAATGGTCCAGTAAGAAATTCCAATATAAATCTAAGGGGTTAGAGGCCTGAGGCCATTCGTCCGCAGTTGTTATACAAGGAGAGGATGTTCGTCCCTTGCTATGCTACGAACTAATAAGAATGATATAATGCTAGAGTGCTAAGTTGCCTCCTTTACAATGAAATAAGTGCTACTATTTATACTGCCAATGGATAGCTAGATGCATTGAATCTTGGCTTCACGCCAAGGGGTGGGCATGTTCGTCCACAGGGGTTTGTCTGGCTTGATCCCGACCACCAGATATTTTGCATTAAATGCGCATCCACAAAATCTTCTGTATTAAATGCAGAATCCTGTCAGGGTCTTGGCTGTCCGCCAAGGGATGGGACGTTCGTCCCCTTGGGCCTCCTGCTGGGCAAACTCCTTTGAGACATGCGTCTCGTGATGCTCCTGGGCCAAGGTACCCGCTACGCTAGGCGACGTACGTCCCCTGCTTTTGGGCCAAGGTACCCGCTACGTTAGGCGACGTACGTCCCCTGGATAAGGAATGGTATCCCGCTGTCTTAGGTCTTCTAGGGACATTCGTCCCCTTGGGCCTCCTGCTGGGCAAACTCCTTTGAGACGTGCGTCTCGTGATGCTCTGAAGCCGAGGAAACTGCTACGCTAGACGACGTACGTCCCCTGCTCCTGGGCCAGTGTAACTGCCCACGCTAGGCGACGTACGTCTTCTGGTCTTCGGCCATGTTGGGGACAAACCTCGTCAGGGGCTAACCCGTTGTCTTGGGCCTCCTCATGACGTTCGTAGGGTGGGCCTTTAAGGATTTATGGCCCAATCCCCATTGGGTCATTAACCCAATAGGTTTGGTCATAAAATACATTATGACATGTATGAAGTTCAACTATAAAAGTTTAACTTCATTAAAGAAATGCATGCTCTGGTTTTGGTAAAAATTAGGGATTTTCTGAGCTTAAACTAGGTAAAGATCATCAAAAGGATCCTGGAAAGGTCATGGAAAGTGAAAGGGAATAAGAGAATGTGAAAATTTGGGAAAATAGTCAAAAACCCGACCAGGTTTTCCAAAAACCCGATCGGGTTTGACTTGACCCGAAGATCAAATTTTGATTTGGAGGCAATTAAACGTGCAGGGTGAAGATTTGGCAAAGATTTGTCTTTTACCCGATCGGGTAAATCAAAAACCTGATCAGGTAGATGTGACTAATGAAGATTTCAGGCACTTACTCAAGAAACCCGATCGGGTTTCTGAAAGACCTGGTCGGGTAAATGACCTTGCCACCTCCAAACACCTATAAATACACCCTTTTTCCTTCCCATTTGATCACCAATTCACATATACTCTTAAGCTCAGTTTAGAATAGCATTTCTTTATATTTTTCTTGCATGTTTAGTCTCCAAATGATGAGCTAAACTTCCAATTCTTGGTGTTGCTCTTGAAGCTTGTTGATTATTAAAGTTGTGAGTTATTTTCTTAACTTCTTTCCTTGAATATTAATTATTAGTTCTTTCAATAATACTATCTCTATATTAATGTTGGGGAGTGTTGTTAAGATGACAATTAGTTAACATCTTAACATTAGTTAGAGTCTTGATTAATTATTAGTTCTTTCCTCAATTGAGCTTCCATCATCTCTGGAAGCTCTAAGAGAAACTTGTAAACTTGGAAAGGACAATGACATTTCTGAAATCTTCTTCAAAATTGAGGGATTGAAAAACTTTTCATTGACCATACTAAACGATAATTTCTTCCCTTTCCTCCCACCAAATGAATCAATGAAAATCTGGATATTTGATCCTGGAAAGATTTTCAAAGTGAAAAGTCGAGAAATTGAGCACTCCTATGGAAGTCCTAGGAGTGAAAGTGTGAAGAAGATAAACTATCATGATCCAAGCTTGAATGATTGAACACAATGATGGCGTCGAGCCACGACGTTAAATAAGGCGCTTTTTGGGAGTCAACCCATGCAAGGTACGTAATTATTTTCTCATTTCTTACATTATGTTTGAGTGTTGTGAGAGAGTGCATATTTAACTTTTCAAAAAAAAAAGTTTGCATGAGGCATGGGGAAAAACCCGGTCGGGTAGACCTGATACCCGGTCGGGTAGACCTGATACCCGGTCGGGTAATAGGCTTAAAAATCATGCCCGAGCAAGAAATCAGCCGGGTAAACACACAAAAAAAACTGAAAATAACATTTTACCCGATCGGGTCTACCAAAAACCCGATCGGGTAAACTGAGAATTTTGCCACTGCCAGTCCTGGGAACAAAAACCCGTCCGGGTTTTCCAAAAACCCTATCGGGTTTATGGGTTTTTAACCCAATTTTATCCCGAAATCAGTTCGAACCAAGCCCCATCTTCCCCAACTTTCAAACTAATCTTCCCCAAAACCTATAGCACAAAAACTGCCATTTATCTTAAAAATGGTTGACTTTCAACAAGGATCCTTCCCAATAAGGTATCTTGGTATTCCATTGGCATCTTTAAAGATCTCTGTTGCCCAATTCTCTCCTTTGATTGATACGGTTACAGACTATTTCAATGCATGGAATACTAAATCCTTATCATATGCAGGGAAAGTTAAGTTGATTAAGTTGGTTGTCCAAGGGGTGCAGTCCTTTTGGCTAGGCATATTTCCGGTCTCCAAAACAATTCTGGGCAGAATAGTTAGCCTTTGTAGAATCTTTCTTTGGGGTGGCAAACATGCTAAAGTGGCTTGGGAAGATGTGTGTCTACCTAAAGAGGAAGGGGGGTTAGGGATTAGAGATACCAAGGTTTGGAATAATGCATTACTGTCTCGTACACTATGGAATATTCACGCTAAACAGGACACTCTTTGGGTAAGATGGGTGAATGGAGTCTATCTTAATGGAAGAGATGTGTTGACTTTTGTTCCACACAATAGGGACTCACAATTGATGAAAAGAATTGCATTGATCCGAGACTCTATTGTCTCAAGATTTCCATCTATACCCGAGACTATTATTAACTTTGCAAAGATGGCTCACAATGGTAAGCTCTCCTCTTCCAAGGTATATGACTTGCTTAGGATGAAAGGGACTGCTCATGCATGGATGTCTTTCATTTAGAAGGCTTATATCCCTCCCAAATATTCGTTCATAATGTGGTCAGCCTACCGTAATAGACTACCTACATATGACAACATGGTTTATCTTGATATTGTTAATGTTTGTCCATTTTGTAAGGGTGGTCCGGAGACGGTATCACACATATTTTTTGAATGCTTTTATACATGGCAGGTTTGGAAAAGTATTAAAGAATGGCTTGGGATCTCTAGGCAAATATCATCTTTGAGGAGTGCGGTGAAATGGATCCAAAGAGATTGCAAAGGACCACACATTAGGGCAAAGGCTACGAGGATAACGTTTAGCTACACAATCTATTGGATATGGAGGACTCGAAATGTAATTAGTTTTGATGGAGCAACTCTAAAGATGGATGACATAATTGCATATATCAAGTATATGGTGTACAAAGGGCTTTACACAATATATCCGTATCATATGATCCCTTTTTGAATCATAAACTAGCATTTTTTGTCATGAGTTGATGGCTGATTTTTGCTAGATGATGGACTTTAGATGTTAAGCTTAGATAGCTTTTGATGTTATAGGGTATCCTTGCTTGAATATGCTTCTAATTTTGCTCATACGATGTACATAAACTCTGATTACTATCTATATATTTACATTTTCCCAAAAAAAATATAAAAGGCGATGTTTTTCAATAACTTTAATAAAAGGTTACCTAAGTTCCAAGAGAATTCATTTTTTATCAGCTTCCCATCTTTTGCCGGCGGCCTAAAGGGACCATTTTCGGTGAACAAAGCATTGCCAGCCGAAGAACAACCATGTGCTGAATGATGTTAATTAACAGAACACCAACCTGTGAATTCAAACAATAAAACAAATTTTGCCAAACCAAAAAACGCCAGATTTTACCTCCTCCAAGCCAAAGCGTAAGCGGGAGTGCTTGCGGACGTTTTGATTGGCCTTCCACAAAATAATAGAAAAGGGATCTTCCATAATAATCGTCCGATACTATGTAGCCCGAGTACTGCTTGAAGCTAACATTCACGGTTTGTCCTGGGAGAGAGTTGATCAGCTCTGAATTCGTAATTTGGAAGAGGAAACACAAAGTATGATAGACCAAACCATAAGAAGACCATTTCTTATAGCACAATTGTTGATTATTTGTTTTCTTATTCGTTTACTTATTTTTATTTACAGCACGAATACTACAGCATTACGTCTAATAATAAGCAACCTCAGCCACGATGAATGTGTGGTTTGAACTGCCAAATATTACTCTAGTACATGCAAGTTCCGTCAAACTTGGTACTTCATGTAATTTGACTTCGCAATAACATGTCATTAACACCCGACACCATCAAACATTAAAACTATTGATATAATTGTGTTTTTATCCAAATAGTTTGGATTTCGTTTGATAACATTAAAATTGGCTGAATCGATTCGATCTGTTCAAATTGATTAAGAACCCGTTTGGTGATCCCTTTTTTCGGCTTATCAGGCTTATCAGTCAGTTTTTTCACCAAACATGTAACTTTTAATTTTGCGCTCTGAATTATGTAATAGGCAGAAAAAGTAAGGTTGAAGTTACTTTTCTGGCTGTATTGGCTGAAGTTACGGTAGATGATCATTTTAGCTATTTTTTCATATAACTTTTTATTTTATTTATTAATAACAAATATTTTTAAATATAATTTTTTTATGAATGAGTAGAATCAGCCAATACAGCAAATTCAGCTAGAACTTCATAAATTTCAACAGAATCATCCAATTCAGCCAATTTTAGTGTTACCAAAAGGACTCTAAATGAATTTGGCAAAAACAGATGACTTTGATTGAGATAATTCAATAAAATAGGTGGACATAATTTCAACGTTAGGCTATCTTAACGTTTCTAGGTTTGTAGATTTTGAATGATATTGTGTAGTGTTTAAATAGATGAGTTTTGTATTTCATGTTTGAAAAATGTATTTATAATATTCCTAATCTGGTATTTTTGTTTGCAAGTGTAAACGTGGATAAATCTTTGAATCCAAAAATTTGATGGATTTGGATGACATAAATTTAAATTAATTTTGTTAAAGTGAAAATGGATGGGTGACATGGAGATATTTTATTTTGGAGATGGAGAAATGATGAACACATGTATCTAGCTCATATAGGCACACAAGATGCATATGTTGTCGCTTTGATTTGCAAAAGAACGAAATGGCGACCGCCTTGGACTCTAATCTATTAGATTCTAAATAAAGTTCACGTTCTTTTTTGGACCGGTTCAAAATAAAGTTCACACTTCTTCTATCTTTCTTATTTGGCAAATTATGTACATCAAAACAATGCAAAACAGTGTCAAACAGTTTCACAACAATTATTTTTAATTCTAAAATATTGTAAAAGTCCATTACAATTTTGAAGCCCAAAATCAACGCTTAGGTTAGTTACAATTACCAGAATACAAAAAAGTCCAATTTCTCAAACCCACTATAACCTTCTAGACTTCTACTACGAACATTGAAACAAACTAATCCTATGACTAATGAGTAATGCACTAATGTCCATAAACAAGTCCACCTTGTTCCAAGCTAGAGGTTGTGAGTTGCGATGGCTGAGCCGCTGAGTAGCTGATGAGCAAAGAGGCTAAGGATACACTTAATTGACGAGTGCATCTACACAGGGATTCCGCGAGTCTAGGCACGCAACTTTGTCCGAAAGTCTTATTCAAATATTTTTTAAAAATTATAAAAATGATTATAACACAATATCATATTACGAATAAATGATTTTATATTCATATTGTTTGAATAATTTTATTTATTTTTGTTAGAGATCTCTATTGATTTAATTATATCTATATTGTTCAAGTTATTTTAGGAGAATGTGTTATTTTTTAATATGTGGCATGTTGAACTGCTTAAATATACTAATAATAATTATTGTTCAATACTGAATATGACATCAAGAGATTATTAAAAGTATTTTGTAACATTTTAATAATAGATTAAATATGTAGCTAGTAACACCGATTTAATATATTTCATTAGTCTGTGATAATTTGTTGTATTGGGAGATATGGCTGGTAAATTACCAATACCGTACCGTTATCAAACCGAAACTTATAAAAAGAGATGAATATACATAAGAAAGATAACATAAAAAGAATATATATATATGTCTATATATATGTGTGTGTATATATATATATGTATAGGTTTTGGTTCAAATAAAAATATGATCTTAGGAGAGAAGTGAGAACGAATATGGACCGTAGATTTGATTTAAGTGAAATTCACTAGTACAAAAAAGGCTTTTTACATCACCTTATTTACATGTGTTACTGTATAACCCATGTGAAATACTGAAACGGGGTCATTTTTATAATTTTTATAAACTTTTTCACATAAGTTATTATTATACCCGATGTTAAATAGTGAAACGGGGTGTATTTTAAAATTTTATTAAATATTTTACATCAGTTCTATGTCCAACTGATGTCAAAGAAAAAACGGGGTCAAATTTTTAATTAAACAGGGTCAAGTTTTTTGGATATCCCACTAACTTTGCCATTTTCCCTTTTAAGTAAATAATTTATGATATCAGTTAATTCTCTCTCCTCTGGACATACCTCAACCACACAGTTTTTACTTTATTATTCCCTGTGCCGGTCAAACTTGGCAAAGTTTTAAGGGCCGGAGAGAGTATGTTATTGTTCTAACTTGTAGTCTCGAATGCAAGTTGGGAGTTATGAATGTGGTTATTATGTGATGTTGCATATGTTGAATATTGTTTCGATGGTAATTCTTGAAATGTGGGATGAGGTACATTATTATTTTATTTACATTCAATAGGTTTGCTCCATGTAATGTTTTTTAATAACCTTCTTATTTAATTTGTAGCGATTCGCCAATTCAGAACCATTCTCATTAGAAGTGATTGATGAAGAACGAACTCGTTGGGCATCATATTTCTTAGAAATGACGCAATCCATCAACGACACATGAAGAACGTGTTTATTTAAGTTTTTGAGTGATGATGAGACTTGTAACTTTATACAATATCTTATTACTTTAGATTTGTGCAAGGATTGTTATGTATTAAGTTGTTACTTGAACTTGTTTAACATTTGTGGAAGAATTGAAAAAGAGCTTGTGTTATTGTTTTAGATGGATCAAGTGAACATGTGAAAAATTGTGCTATAGTAGTTGATGATACTGTTAATGATGTGATTATAGTATAAACTGGGGGCATATCACAAATTTTTTTCTTGAAAAATACCAAAAAAATTGAAGCTTTTCACATCAGTTGGAAAATAACCAATGTGATTGCTTTTCTACATGGGCTATAACCGATGTGAAACACGTATTATCCGGAAAAAAATGAAGCTTTTCGCATCGGTTGAAAAAATGACCGATGTGAAATCTTTTCTACATGGGTTATAACCGAAGTGAAAAACTTATGCTCCAGAAAAAATTGAAGCTTTTCTACATCAGTTGTAAAATAACCGATGTGATTGTTTTTCTACATGGGTTATAACCGATGTGAAATATCATTAAAAACGCCGTTTCAGACTATCTTCTAGATCGGGCACTAAACGACCGATGTAGAAAGAATCTCCACATTGGTTGTTTGATCAATGTGAAAAGTCAATACTTTTCACATGTGCTGGAACCACATCGGCTGTTTGACCGATGTGAAAAGCCTTTTTTGACCGATGTGAAAAGCCTTTTTTGTACTAGTGATTCAATGTGCATTAGATGAAACATTAATGTGCATCGGTGAAATTGAAATGTGCAACACAAAGCGTACAATACAATGTCATTATGTGAAGCTGAATTGTGCATTAGGTGAAATTGAAATGTGCACTAGGTGAAATTGAAATGTGCAGAATAAAAGGTACGATGTGATGTAATTTTTGTACATTTTATTCCGCACATTTCAGTTTCACCTAACGCACAATTGAATTTAAATTTTTATTCTGCACATTTCAATATCTTCTAATAGACATTTCAGTTTCATCAAATGCATATTTTCGTTCCACATAATAAATTCAACGGTCCGGATTCGTTCTTATTTCTCTCATGGGAGTCCGTTCTTACCGGAACCGCTCCCTATGTATATATATATATATATATATATATATATATATATATATATATGTATATATATATATGTATATGTATATATATATATATATATATATATATATATGACAGATTAAAGGATAAAAAATAAAAATAAAAAAGAAAGAAAAAGAAGATGAGGGGGAAAAGATGATAAGAGATCACTCCTTAAGAATATACAAATAGTTTCAAAAATACAAAAATATAGACTTTCACATTCTTTATTGCCCACATCTTTTATTTATAATTCTTTGAATTTTATTTTTTTAAAACTTTTGTAATATAAAAACCAAGCTATTACAGATCAAAAAGCGGTTAAATGATAAGTCATACGTACTTTTTTTAGTGTAGGAGACTTAAGTGATGAAATGAAAACCATAGAAGAAACTATTTAACCTTTTTCCTTTTTCATTTTATAAAAATTGCTTATTACATACAATTACACTCCGTAATAGAATGTTATTTCAAACATCTTATTACTTCACTTTAGATATACCCGGTGCATCGCACGGGTGTTTTGTCTAGTTAAAAAATAAGGATAATTGAACATTTTAAAGAAAGTATTTACTAAAAAAGTGTTGTTGTCTTAGAAAATATTGAAGTATAGAATTGTAGATCAACCAAATAAAGTGCTGTGAAAATTAAAATATTGAGGGAATATTAATTCAAAAAATCATATAACTTTCTTTCCGGTGTGCATTGGATTAAAATGATCACATATATGTGTCTGATTTTGAGAAGCATTTAAAAACTTTTTTGGGAAGCTATATTTGAGGTATACACTTTCCTTGCCGGAGTATTTCATACGGAGGATTTGTTTATGGGAAAATTATTCTAAATAGGATTAAAAATATTTGTATATTTCAAGATATGTTTATCATGTTTTTATTATCAAAATAGAATTAATTACTTTCATGTTTTGACCATATAAGATTTTAATCATAACAACATTTTTTAAACTTAGTAGTAATTACTCTTAGTTTGGAAATAAAAACACGACAATCCTATTTTGGATTTTTTAAACTTTTTTACTCTTATTTCGAGAATTTGTCCTTTTTTATTTATATATTTATGTAAAACTACGTGATCTAAAACATTTATTAATGAAATTGAAAATTATCATATAAAAAATGAAAATTGAAAATTGTTAAGAAGCTTTCCGGGTTATAACTGTCTTCCTAATTTTGGGGTCGTTACACAAGCGATATTTTGGTGGATCACCAGGCGAGAGATGATGGTGGGATGACATTTTTAGTGGAGCTTCGCAATCGTAGGCCATTTTGTTTCTATTCTTTATCAAGTTAGTTGTTTTTATATAATATATATACCTACAAATGCATAGTAGGAATAACCCAAGCTTGCTGCTCTTAATTGTTTCTTACTCCATATACATATTTAGATATTACGTGGCCCTCGAATGACAAAACTTAGTTGGGAACAAGCTATGAGGATAGCGATAATTTTTGTTTTACTTTGGTCGTGCTTTTCTTATTCCGGCAAGGTAGCTCCACTAAACTTGATGAATCGTCAATTAAAGACTACCCAGCTCCAGAAAATTTCGTAGCAACGATCTCAGTCGTTTACCAAATGGGAAGTATAGAAAAGGGGATTGTTTGCCAAGGTGTGGTCGCGTGTGCGCTTGTGTTTTGTGTCCCTGCCATAGGCCCTATTAGCTAGGGCCTAGGAGTAAAAGCCTATACTTTATTACTTTATGTGCTAAAAAGTTATCGATACGACAAAAAATTTTCCGCTCATCATAAGTTAAGCCCAATTCATTAGTTAAGCTCGGAATCCCGAGGATGAACGCAGGAACAAGTGGTTGCTGTTGAAAAATGTATGGCACCGGTGTGGTGCCCTATTATTAACGAATCCTCGCAACTGCGATGAGAGGTTATAATGCTAAAAAAGTATAGGGTTTCTGTAAGTATCAGGGATAGATCCACACTCTTTATCTGTTAGATTGTGATTATAGTCCAATTTACATCCTCCCAACTTACCGTCCGGTCAGTGTTGAGGGCCCTCAAGGATGAGATGTGATCCTTTTTTTGCAAGGACTCATATTGAAGAATTCAAAATTCAAGTATACGTTATTCATTGTATTTTGTCTTTATGTTCTTTACATAAACTAGATTCATTGTATAGGAATTATTTATTTGCTCATCTTAATTTTATGACCGTTGCATGGTACTATAAAACCCATGCATGCCTCACGTATGAAAGATAAGAGATTGCATTATTATCTCATTCTTTAGGTTCTCTTTCCTTCTTTTATTTTCTCTTTTATTTCTTTATATTTTTCACAATTAATATGGTATCAGAGCATGGATCACCCACATCCCCACCCCTCCACACAACTACCGCAGTTACCTCTGCAGCCACCCACATCCCATTACATCATCCCTCCACTCATGACACAGATAGCCCATATTTCATCCACCCTTCCGACAGCACCGGTGCCGCCTTGGTTGGTTACCTGCTCACCGGCCTAGATGATTACAATGCTTGGTCTCTCGCCATGATAATGGCTTTACGTGGCCGAAATAAATTTTCTTTTGTTGATGGCTCTCTTCCCATGCCTTCTCATGACGACCCCAACCACGACCGATGGCACCGGGTTAACAATTTGGTCATGTCATGGATCCTCCACTCTATTCATGTCAACCTTGCTCACACCGTCCTTTATGCTCCCGATGCCGCCACAGTGTGGTCGGACCTCAAGGCTCGTTTCTCAACCTCTAGTGGACCTCAGATTTATGACCTTGAACGCCAAATATCTACCCTTAACCAAAATGACGACACTATTGCCGTTTATCACAATAAACTCCAACGCCTTTGGAGTGAACTCACTCTTGCTGATCCACCGCCCAAGTGCACTTGTGCCGCACGCACTCAATATGCCTCTCAACTTGACCGCCGCCGTCTCATGCAATTTCTTATGGGTCTTCGTGATACATTCGCGGCATCGCGTAGCCAACTTTTACTCACCACTGTCCTCCCTCCAGTCCACCAAGCTTATAATTTACTTCTTCAAGATGAGGCTCAACGTCTCCAGAGTCAGTCCTATCACACTGACACCACCTCCGCTCTCCTAGCTACACCGGCCAGCCAAACCGGCAAAACCCATATCGCTCATACAAATTCTATCTCACGCAACTACTCACGCCCTAACTCCAACCGGTCTCGTTGTACTCACTGTGGCATCCCTGGACACACACAACAAGTGTGCTACCGGTTACATGGATATCCACCCGGCCACAAATATTACAAGAAAGGAAATACTCATGGTGCTCCAACCGTCACCACCACCAATCCCGCCCCTTCGACCTCCTCCGATTCCATTCAACAACTTCTCCGTCTTCTTCGGGAGGTAAATGAACCAAAGGCCAATCTTGCCGGTACGTCTCTTACTCTTGCTTCTTTTTTAAAACAATCCCAAGAGTGGATCATTGACACAGGTGCAACGGATCATGTCTCTTTTGATCCTAACATGTTTTCCACTTTTCCAGTTGCACTTATGGATAAACGTAGTATATCCATCCCTGATGGCTCCGTTGCCCCCATTCATGGAATTGGCAATATTATTTTAACTCCTAAAATTATATTGTCTAATGTATTATATGTTCCTTCATTTCACTATAATTTACTTTCAGTTACAAAACTGTCCCATGATTTAAATTGTAGCGTTATTTTTTATCCTAACTACTGTATTTTTCAGGACCTTTTGACGAAGGAGGAGATTGGTCAGGGCCATAGAAAACATGGACTATATTTTCTAACGCTTCCACCCACACCGACCACGCTTTTTGCCGCATCCCCCACCACTTGGCACTCCCGCCTTGGTCATCCGTCCTCTAATGTCTTTAAATTATTATCTCCAATTCTTGGTTGTTCAAATAAATTACATTTGTGTGATATATGCCACTTGTCTAAACAGACTAGATTGCCTTTTCCCATTCGTAGCTCTTTTACTCAAAATTGTTTCGATCTAATTCATATTGATGTTTCGGGAAAATACAAAAATCCCACAAATAATGGTCACTATTATTTTTTAACCATTGTTGATGATTTTTCTCGCACTACGTGGACTTATTTAATGAAATTTAAAACTGATGTTTTTTCCTTAATTGTTCATTTCTTGGCTTATATTAAAAATCACTTTAAAACATGCGTCAAAATCATACGATCTGATAATGGTACAGAATTTACCAATCATATTTTTCAAAAAGTTCTTAATGAAAATGGTATACTTCACCAAACAAGTTGTCCTAACACTCCACAACAAAATGGTGTAGTGGAGCGTAAGCATCGCCATCTTCTCAATATGGCACGAGCCTTACGCTTCCAAGCTGGCCTTCCGCTTTCTTTTTGGGGTGATTGTATCCTTACCGCCACTTATCTCATAAATAGAACACCGTCTCCTATTTTACACAATAAAACACCTTTTGAAATATTACACCGCCAATCTCCTAATTTTAACATTTTACGCACTTTTGGTTGTTTATGTTTTGCGTCCACCAATTCCCAACACCCCCATAAATTTGCACCTCGTGCAAGAAAATGCATATTTATTGGATACCCACAACGACAAAAAGCATATCGTCTATATGATCTCACAGATAAAACGTATTTTATTAGTCGTGACGTTATATTTTATGAAGATATATTTCCTTTTAAAAATTTACCTGCCTCTCCAGATAACCCCGGTGCACCTAGTATTTTACCGCTACCCATTCCGGACACTGAACAACTCTTTCCAGACACATCTCAGGCTCCATCTTCTGTCGCCACACCAAATAATTCCGCAAACTCCCAAAACCAATTTTCTACATCTACCCATTTAAATTCAAACCCATCTTACGTGATTTCCTCTACTCCATCACATTCCAATAATACAATTCCCTTGCCCACCCCACTGACAATTGCCCCCCCTTCACCCACCAAGACAATAACTCAACATAGTCTTCACCCCACTCACCAAATGGAGCCAAATTCCTCACCACCCACCATCCAGTTCGATACATGCACACCTCCTATTCCCTCAACCTCAAATAATTCTGCCAATACTCCAGCTATACAACCCCTCCCTAGACGCAGTAGCCGCCAAACCAAATTACCCCACTATCTCTCAGATTATCAGTGCCATGCAGCGCCCGTCCAATCTCCTCTATACCCTTTAACTAATTTTATCTCTTCTAGCTCTTATTCTGCAGGTCACGTTTGCTATATTAACAATATTATTAAACATACGGAACCCACCTCCTACACAGTGGCATGCAAGAACCCTCTTTGGGTTGAGGCAATGAAAAATGAAATTTCAGCCTTAGAAGAGAATCATACTTGGTCCCTCCAACCATTACCGTCAGGAAAGCATGCTATCGGCTGCAAATGGGTATATCGAATAAAATATAAACCTGATGGCACCATTGAACGCTATAAGGCACGCCTTGTTGCCAAAGGCTATTCTCAGTTAGAAGGTTTCGATTATACCGATGTCTTCGCTCCAGTAACCAAACTCACTACCGTTCGCACTGTACTTAGCATTGCGGCGGCAAAAGGATGGTCTACCCATCAACTTGATGTCTCCAATGCATTCCTACATGGTCATTTACATGAGGAAGTGTACATGCAACTCCCACCCGGTTTTCACCGAAAGGGGGAGCACCGTGTTTGTCGTCTCCATAAGTCCATATATGGGCTTAAACAAGCTTCCCGGACTTGGTTTGCCACTTTCTCCAGCGCACTATTACAAGCCGGGTTCACTCAATCTAAAGCAGATTATTCTATGTTTATTTACAAACGCAAGTTACATTTAACAATTTTGCTTGTTTATGTAGATGATATAGTTATCACAGGTGACGACGTGCTCCTCATCCCTATAATAAAGTGGTATTTAGCAAACCATTTCCACCTTAAAGACCTCGGCCCATTAAAATATTTTTTAGGGATTGAAGTTGCACGCTCATCATTGGGCATATTCCTCAACCAACGGAAATACGCTTTGGAGATCCTTAATGATGTTGGGCTTCTTGCTTGCAAGCCAACCATCACACCCATGGATGCTAGTACTCGCCTACAGGCCGACACGGGCCCATTGCTTGATGACCCCTCTCGCTATCGGCGTTTGGTTGGTCGACTTCTCTACCTCACTGTTACAAGACCAGATATTACTTACTCTGTTAACCAGCTCTCCCAGTTTATGTCATGCCCTCGTAAAACCCATTGGGATGCTACCTTACGTGTTGTACACTACCTTAAAACAGCCCCTGATCGTGGTATCCTACTGGCTAAGGACACCTCCTTACACATCAATGTTTATTGTGATGCTGATTGGGCATCTTGCCCCACCACTCGACACTCTACCTCTGGCTATTGCACATTCTTGGGGACTAGTCCAATATCATGGCGGACTAAGAAACAAACAACTGTCTCTCGTTCCTCTGCTGAAGCTGAATACCGATCTATCGCAGCCGCAGTTAGTGAAATCACCTGGCTCCAGCTACTTCTCTCTGAACTAGGTATACCGTGTCACCCAGCTCACCTACATTGTGACAACCAAGCTGCCTTACACATTGCAAATAATCTGGTTTTTCATGAACGCACAAAACATGTCGAAATCGATTGCCACTTTATTCGTGATAAAATTCAAGAAGGAAAAATACGCACAACATTCGTTCCGTCCCACCAGCAACTTGCGGATATTTTCACCAAAATTCTTCTTCCTCAACCATTCACTACACTTACATCCAAGCTCATGTACCAACCATAAGCTTGAGGGGGAGTGAAGAATTCAAAATTCAAGTATACGTTATTCATTGTATTTTGTCTTTATGTTCTTTACATAAACTAGATTCATTGTATAGGAATTATTTATTTGCTCCTCTTAATTTTATGACCGTTGCATGGTACTATAAAACCCACGCATGCCTCACGTATGAAAGATAAGAGATTGCATTATTATCTCATTCTTTAGGTTCTCTTTCCTTCTTTTATTTTCTCTTTTATTTCTTTATATTTTTCACAATTAATACATATGATGGAGTACATTATAGTTTATAAATTACTTTGAGTAATTATTAATTTTGATAGGGACGTTTTTTAGGGAGTTCAATGGTTATTATGAACCGGGCCCCCGATTTATGGGGTCCCAAATTTTTGAAAAATTATTAGTACTCCCTCCTCTGCCCCCTATAATTGTCACATTTTTTCATTTTTGGATGTCCCCCTATTATTGTCAATACCATATTTGGTAACATTTGTGTGACTCTTATTCATTCTTACTTTATTTCCACTCTATCAATTCATTATCAACCACATAATTGTATTTTTCTTTAAAACCACATCACTCCCTTCCGTACCAATATTAGGGGGACGGAGGGAGTATTATATAATAATATTATACTATGTATATTAATAATACTAATCAATAAAATACAATTAGTAAGGAAAAAAATAGATTCATCATTTTTTCGTTGGTCATTTTCAGTTTACTTTTACTCAAATTTGCTCGAATAATGAGTTGAGTTGCTTTAAATCAAGTATTAAATAAGTCTTAGAATTTTTTTATTACATTATTTAATGAGTATTCAATCGATTTAAGTATGAATACTTGGATTGAGTTTTTTTTTAATTTTTTATTTTAATGTGGGGCCTCAATTTTACATTTGGAACCGGAACCCCCCAATTTTGAGCTTGAAGTCTTGTTTTGCTTTGTTTAAATAGCTCGTGTTTCCCCAATTCCTCGGACAGAAAACGCTTGAAGTTGTAACTTTTGTTTAATGTTCTGTTATAGAAAAAACTAGGAAAAATTGATTGTAATAATCTTAACTATTGGAAGTCCGCTCATAATAAACCCAACTATCAATTATTTTAGAATAATCCCAACTTTAGGGACCTTCCGCCAATAATGGTCCGACGTGACAGACTATAAATAAATTCTTATAGTTTCTAAAGACGTATAGCAGGTAATCCCTATAAATAATCCCAAATTTTAATTTTTAAGCTTAATTTCTATTAAAAATTCACTTATTAGAGCAGGTAATATGCGATCATGGATCATTATTGACGGACGGTCCATATAGTTTGGATTATACAAAAATAATCAATAGTTGAGATTATTGTTAGCGGACCAGCAATAGTTGGGAATATTATTTTCAACTTTTCCAAAAAACTATTGTTTCATGAACTTGCACTACAGAAATCTGAGATTCACTTATGTAACGAAATACATAGTATCAATTGTGCACCTTTGCAGAATAACAAGGCGGTTTTGAATGTGTATGACGGACAAGGCGGTTGAGGCGGCTCCTCCGTCGCCTCCTGGACGGGCGTGGAGCGGTAAATCTTTTGCAGCTCATGGGGTTATAGGACTAGGCCCAGAGCCTAATCGGTCCAGGCCCCACACTTGAACCAGCAGGTCCAAGCCCGACGATCTAGAGCTCGAGTCGGCCCAACTAGGAGCCTGGCCAGGAACCTACCTACAGCCCAGCAGGGAGCCTGCCGTCTAGCCCAGTGAGGAGCCTGCCTTCCAGCCCGGCCAGGAGCCTCTCCTCCAGTCCAGCAAGAGGGAGCTCAAGCGTCCAACCTGCCAGCCAGGCCGACCTTCCAGCCAGGAACAATAACGGCCAAAGTAACTAATGTGTGACTTAATTATGTATTTAATTCCGTATTAATATTGTAATTAATTAGCCATTAGTATCTTTGGCAGTTACCATTTGTGATCGTCTATAAAATGCAAGTTCAGTTCAAATAATAGATATGCTATTTCTGGCTACCAAATCCCCTTTGCAACTTTCCTTATTCATATTACTTTCTTGATTCCCGCTTGAGTGTCGTACGTAGCTTTCCTAAAAGCATACGAACGTCCTATTTTGGACCAATAACAGCGGTTGTGGCGGATCAGCCTGATCCAC